TGAAATATACAAAAATAACACGAGACCATGCAAATTCAGAATCCAATGGGAATTGTGTAGATAATGTTATAACCTCAGGGAAGGGAGTTATCAATTCAAATCAGAGTGAATGAACAGACTTCAAGGAAGAGGTGACTCATAAATTGCATATGTTAGGCCCACAGTCTCAGAAAATAGGAAAGAATGTTAAAAATAGTAGAAATGTAAAAGGTCCAAGGCAGCAATGATCTTGAAATCTCTACAAAGAGGCTAGTTTCGTATGAACAGTTTGAGGTAGTAATGAGATAAAAGGATAAATATACTAGCTATCAAAAAGGCATGATAAAATGCAGTAGTTACTGAGGCAAAGGAAAAAAGTCTTATTTCCACAGTCACTATTATTTCATTTTTATAGTCATTTTCAAATTTAGCATAACTCACTAGTGTTAATAGCCACTGCATCATTGGAAAATTCAGAGCAAACTGAAGAAGTCTGCTGAAACTCTAAAACCTGTTTTAAGCCACTATGATCTTAAGTCATAGAGTGCAGAGGTATAGTATGACTCCACTCTTGGTCTCTGGCATCTAGAACCCAGGAGTGATGAAGAGAGATCCTCTTTTCACAAACCATTTAAGCTATGGTATAAAATCAAGATGGACATGTGTGTCAGTAACTGTACACATGTATTCACTCAAAGGTAGAGAAGGCATATCCTTACCGTCAAGGATTTTGCAATTGTCTAGGAGAGAGAACTAGACGCATACATGTTAAAGTCCTCTGTATGTTATTTATAGTAACAGAACTATGTAAAGACAGGGGGCACTGTGAAGGGACCACTCACAGGGAGAGTTTGTAAAATGCTTCAAAGGAAAAGATGATTCCAAAGCAAGATTTAAACAGAAGAATAATTTTTTTTGCAACCTATATCGAGACTAAATGGGTATTCCAGGCAAATTAAATGACGTGGACAAAGGTATCAAATACCTATAATGTTAGGGAACCACAGGCATTTTGATATTATCGGATCCTGAAAAAAACAGGAGGATAGTACTGAGAAGTAATCAAGGACCAGATCATTAAGGAATCACAGCTTCCTTGTAGGGCCACAGAGAGCCTCTGAAATGTTTAAGCTAGGAAGAAACATGATCCGATTTACATATTCAAAAGACCATTCTTCCTGCCACGAAGAAAATAGATTAAATATAGTCTAATTTAGACTGGGAAATTCAGGTGGCTCTTACAAGAATCCAAGTACAAGAAAATGAGGGATTGAACCAAGACACAACAGTGAGTAGAGATAGGTAAGTATGCATCTGAGAGCTATTAAGGAAATGAGATTTATAGGACTTGACTAATAATAATAATGATCATGATAATAATCGTAACAAAACCTAATGTTTATTGGGGCATATTATAGACCAGGCTTTGTACTGAATTCTTTCATTGTCACATTAAACCTTTGATTTAACTCCCCTAAGGGAATTAAACACACCTAAGGGTGTGTTTAATTCTCCTAAAACTTGTTTACCCCTGATGGTCCCAGCTCAGTAGTTGGGGCCACCTCTCACCTACTAGCTTAGACTGGATGCCATCGCCCTCGATTAATCTTACCCTTCCACCCTCCATCCAATTCAGCAGTAAAGAATACAGTCACTCACCACCATGAGTGATGGCAACAGCCCTTGCTCAAGATGTGATCATCTCTCTCCAGATTATTTGAAACTGCTTCCTAAATGGTTTCTCTGTTCTTCCCTTGTTTCCCTACAGACTATTCTTCCAAAAGTAGTTGCAATGATATTGTCCATGCCTCAGAGGTACCAATTGATTCCCATCACATTTAGATCTAAATCAGAAATCTTTTAAAAGGCCAGCATGCCCTACCTGAGTGACCACTGGTTACCTCCTTGACCTACTGCCTACCAGTTTCCTCCACTTCTCTCATTCTGCTTTTGGCATACTCTTCACTCTTCCATGAACACACACAGGCACATTCCTGCTCTAAGCTTGTGTACTTGTTCCCCTCTCTTCCTGCAGTTCTCTTCACAGGATTCCCTCCCACAGACAGATCTCCATTCAAATGCCATCTCCTAAGAGATGCCTTCCCTGATCATTCTATGTAAAATAGCACCTTGTCCCCTATTCTACCATCACTTTCTCTCCTCTACCCAACTTTCTCTTTCTTCATGACAGCTATTGCTGTGAGTGTATCTACTATCTATTTATTAACTATCTTCTTTGGCTTGTTCCCGATTATATTCCTGGGGCCTGAGAATACTGTGCCACATACTGTGAGTGTGTAATACTAGCTGGATGAATGTAAGAATGAATCCTCTTTTTAGAGATGAAGAAACTGAGACATAAAGAAGTATGTAAATTTCCCAAGTTCATACAACTATAGATGTCAAGAGCTGGGTTTCAAGCCTATAAAATATTACTAAGAACATGCATGTTTAACCACTATAGTGGCTTTTTGTGCTTGGTGACTCATAGTGGAAACTCCAGTTCACAAAAGAAGGTATTAGAGAAAGGATAATTCTCTCTCTCTTATTTTCATATTTTACTTAAAAATTTAGACTAGATATGATTTCACAGGAAGGACATATTCAGTATAGCAGAAATAGAAGAGGGTTGGAGACAGTCATTCATTGATGACTTGGAGTTAAAAATACTGCTTTCGCTTTAATCTCTACTCCATGGTCATATAGGTGGGCTTTATCCTCCTATATATAAAATAGTTAAAGACAATTCCTGCTTCAAATACTGTGAGCCTCAAATGAGATATGTGAAATCTTTTGTAAAATATTATACAGTGCCGGATTTCTTTATCATTATAATGGGACATGATCTTGTCTAGAGTATATGAAGTGACTGAGGGTTAGAGCATATAATTTTTCTCTTTCTAATGTGCTATATATTCTGTGGTTGTACAGGTGTGTTATGTGGCTAAATGCTACTTGCTTAGATACTTTCGGCTTTTGAAGATCGAGTTGCCCTCCTAAGAAACCATGTATATATTGGGGAAAATGTGTCCCAATCTGTGCTAACTAGCTGGTGTAATTGGCCTTCTGTCTTACATTGTATAATTGCAGCCCTGTACCAGGACTTGTTAACAGTGAGATCTGAAAAAAGTTCAGAGACAAACCAACCCTCTGCACTTTGTTTCCCTATTAAATCCACTGCAAATTGCTGTGGCTAGATAATTCAAACAAGCTGAGAATGAGTCTCTTATGTTTGTAAAAAACATGGAAAGCAGAGTGGTATCCCTAAACTTGTTCAACAGTTATTCAAACAGAGGTCTTGAAAGGACTCATTTCATGAGAAGTAAAGGGAAAAGTTCAAAAGCTTATTTGTGGCCATTACAGGGAGCATGTTTTCTGTCTCTTCTTGTACAAATGCGTGCCTTTTATCCTAAATGGCTGCCAGGCTTCTTGTCAACCAATTACTTTAAAACAATTGTTTCATTTGGAATAGATGCCATAGCCCAAGTGATTGTCCCTTGTCAGTGACACATTCAATTAAAACAGCTCTGAATAGGAGTTCTGGAGGGCCTACTGTGCCTTGTCCTATCTTATCAGTCAACAAAGAACAACCTTAGAGACCTCAGTGCTGAGTGGTTCCACTGTCAGGTGGTTTGAACATGTTGCACCTTCCCAGGGTTCCTCAGAGTCTTTCGTCTCTGTGCCTTTTACAGCCAATGACAGGCGCCGTCTCAGCAGTGTCTGGGTCTACAATGCCAAGAAAGCTTATGGCAGTAAATAAGATGGCAGCTGTGACAGTCCTGACAGCTGGCTGGAGCTCAGGGTGGCAGGCTGAACCGGACTGTGAGCAGTTGGAGCAGCAGTGAGGTATGACCACCATTACTGGTTGGCAGATGTCAGTTTCCACGCTACTAGTTACTACATGATGTGACGGACACACTCACATCATGAAACAGGCAGACAGAACTTTAAACAAACTCTGGGAACCTAGCATGTTCTATACCAAACTTGGGGTTCAGAAAAAAATTAAAAATCGTCGTCAAAACATAAATTATTTGCCTTTGTAGTCCTTGTGCAATTGGAGAAGAGTTTTACGAAGTAGCAATGGTAGAGAATGGAGTCTTCCACATAAGAGCTGGAATCAATGAAAAGCAAAACTGATTTCAGAGAAAGGTCTAGTATGTTGGCTGCCTTGATAAGAGGTACTGTGAGTTCACACACATCTCAGGATCCCTTTGTGTGCAAACTGTATGTTTCCTCATACCTTTTGAATATTCTTTCATACTTTTCTTTTCTTAGGCAAACTCCCCATACCTCTGCCTCTTAACTATCTTTTCCCATTTTCTTAATGAGAACTGAATACCTATTATCAGAGAAGATGGATGCTGTAACATATATATTATCAAAACAAGTAAAATGAAAAGCTGTTATATTACATTGTATGTACCATTGTGAGTTCATAGACAGGGCAAAATAGATTTCTGTAGCCACATCAAGTCTGTGCAGAATATAGATTTGCTACTTTGTCATAGGGTCAACCAAGGTGGGCAAGCAGGCTCTAAGTCTGGAAATTTGTCATGGATCTAAAGTTGAATGCTGTCAGGCTAGATGTGGGAGCAGGTCAAGACAGAGCTGAAGCTAGTCACAGAGATAAGTCACGAAAATGACAAGGGCACAAACCAGTGCTACTGCTCTCACATTCCGACCCTTTAAGGGATCTGAAGTCTGTTCACCTAAAATTAATTCTCCTAATGTCTAAGCCCCCAAAGCACCCATTAGCCTAATAATCATATTCCTAATAAAAATCTGTCATAGATACAGCATTGCACATATAAGAAGATGCCACTCTAATGATTTTTAAGATACTGTGTATTTTTTAACCTATTTTATAAAACTTTAAGCATTTTGTCTTAATTGAGTGAAATGTCTTGGAATGTTTGGAAACCCTCAGAAGTAGGCAAACAGTTACTATGAGAGTTTATAAAAACACCTCTGAGCTAACACTATGTTGGTACAACATAGAAAAGTTGTATATTTGATAAATGAACATTTTAGATGAATGTGTCCTTAGGCAAATTGATTATTATGCCAATTGATTTTAAGTAAATTAGTTTTAAGCAATTTGACATTCTCCCCCTAAAGGAGCCTTCAAACCACTCTGAAATTCTAGGATTTCTGATATGCACTGCCCAACACAGCCTTTGTCAAGAATGGCAGCTTTTGCTTGGTTCTATCTCCAAATAAACCCAAGATTTCTAATATAAGGTAAAAATTTTAAAAAGTACAAAATAAATGAGTATTTACTATAGGCCACGTGTACACCTTTACACTTTACATTTATTTATTCAATAAACTCTTACTGAGTATATACTGTATGCCAGGCACTGTTCTGAATGAACTCATGTAATCCTTACACTGACCTTGTGGGTAACCCCAAGTGTGGCAGGTGGGGGGATGGGAACTGAAGCAAAGAAAAGTTAACTAATCACCTAATTAGGTGGTGAAGGTGGGTTTTGAACCCAGGCACTCTGGGTCAATGCTTTACTGCCTCAGCAGATAGGCTCTGCTGCTAAGTCATTAACTATGCAGCTGTAGGTGATTTTTCAAGCTGGGTGACATACAAAAGCAGGTTGTGGGGATATAGATAACATCCCGTATATAATTAAAAAGAAAACATAAGGGCTGTGACTTCTCAGTCATAGCATTACTGGCAGATCAGAAACCACTGCTGGATATTATTCATTTGTTTTTAATGTATCTAATAATCTCCAGGTTCTAGACTGAAATGAAAGAGGACACCCACTAAAAGGAGCAAGTGATGAACAAGAAATTCTAGGTAAATCCTACTGAAAGAACAACAGCATGGCATGCTAATGTTCATATTCTTTCTCTCTACCGTATGGTTGTATTTGGAGCCCAAACTTGTGTTTTCTCACCTCCTTATGTGGGAATACTCCTGTAATGGACGGGAGTTCAATGTTTGGAAGGTATTACTCCACAGAAGATTTCAATGCCAGCACTGTGCTGCAGGAGCTGATGATGGGGATCACATCTGTGTCTTTTATGCTGTTGAACAGGTGAATGATCAGAACCATCAGAAATCTACCACCCTAATGCGGGATCCAGGAGTCGGTGCTAAACATCACACACCATTCTGGGAAATAGAAACTGTTACATTCTAATATAACTACTGACAGTACTTATGGTGTCCTTAGTTAAATGAAATTTCCATTGTGAGATGATTATAATGAATTCTAATACATAGTTCTCATGTAAATTTGTTAGCAAATAAAACAAATAAACCAAGAAAATATACATTACTAATTGGAAATGTGGGAAACAACAGAAAAAAGGAAAAGAAAAAGGAAAGCCTCAGACTGGAATTATTTAAAACCAGTAGTGCTTGATGATTTGAGCTTTAATTGGCAAGATAAAGAAAAAGATAAGAAAGACATTTTGGTACAGCTACAGAAATATCTGCGAAAGGTAAAATGTTCTTGCTCTGCAACTAACCCACTGGGGATAGTCTTTCCATAGAAGAAATGTCTTCCAGAGCTCAGCTGGTGATCAGTTTATACCCTGAAGCATGATTATAATGTTAACCTTGAAAGGTCCTAATGAAATGAGTTTGGTGGTCTCAGCCTATATATTTTTATATGCACTTGTGCGTGCCTTGGAACATATCTTGATACACTGTCTGCAGAATAGCACAGCATGTATCTGAGATTACAGTGTGACCCATAGTCTTCTCACTATAACTCCTATTTTTTTCCTACATGATGCACCTCTCAAAATTCAGCCCATAAGGGAGGAATGACTTCTTAATGACAGCCTGTACATTATTGATGGGGCAAATAGGGTGGTAAAGAGATAACCCTAGGTGTCTTGTTTTCCAGTTGATTAACTAGCGTGAGTACCTTCCCTAGGGAAAACAGGCTTTGCAGGAAACCAGTTATCCATTCAATCTCTCACTAATGACAATATTGTAAAATTTGAGAACCCCCTTTCCTCAAAACCTTGGTTAAGTATGACCCTTTGAATCATACTGGAAATTAAGACAAAAATTAAAATTGAGTTGTATACAGGCCTTTTGAGTCGATGGGGTATCATTAAGGACTTAAGTTGAGGTAAATGACTAAGTTATATTATTTGCATTTCATAGTAACGATGACAAGTCTCCTGGGAAATCTTTCCAAATGTTAAGGCAAGAAATTTTTTTTATGTCTGAAAGGGATATGAGATTGCTATTTCTATTACATTTGATTCAAGTAAAATATTTAGAAGTAAAGTAATCCCACGACAAGTTTAAACCTTAGTATTTGAGGACTAACAAGAGTTCTTATGCGATGGTGCCACCCTCATGAAAACAGAGGTCAAGTTGTAGCTGTCCAATCTTCAGTATCCACTCTGGAACCAGATCTGCGACATCAGCAGTTTCTTCTCAGTCTCTTGGAGGAAAAGACATTTAACTTCCCTTGAATCCACTGCTTCATGACATAAACCATCTCAGGATGCCCTCCCCTTGTATTATACAATACCAGAATGTTGGGCAAAACTCAGTAGCAAAACTTTTCTTCATAACTTAAAACTTCTCATGTCTTGCTCCTTTGAACGTGCATGTCAGGCTGATAAATAGCTTGCATTCTATATATTTAACTTTTCTGAGTAGAATTCAAGATTCTTTTTCTCTGAGGACATCAGAAATTTATGAACCATTTTTTCTTTTCTCTAGTATTCAGAGAAGAATCTACTAGTACAAAAAGACTCCAAGGCATTTGTCATTTTATAGAGTGTACACATTAGCAGGTATTGGATGGGAGCCTAAGATTTTAGGAGTTCTGGAACTGTGGAACTGGGGCATATGTATTTAAAGAATATAGACTAAGCACAAACCTTTTATTCTCCCTCATTGAGCATCTTTTCTTCTGTGTCTTATAGAAGACTCAACTTATAACATTATTCAGATGTAGGCAATTTCTTTGAAAATTTCTGTTGGTTATCATGTATTAGTAGAGGCATCTCCACACACCACTGCTGTTTTCTCATTACTCTTAACATACTTAAGGAATATTGGGTTCAAAATCCCCTGCACCTTTTCCTTTTGGCTAATTCAAGAAACTCAGACAATACTAAAATACAAAAAAGGGAAATGAATTATTTAGCCTATAGAAGAGAAGGCTGAGTAGGTTTGAGGATCATGAAAGAAATTTTATAACAGTCTTCATGTACAGAACAGATAGTATACAGAGATTGATGGCTAGCTATTCTCTACATTTACTGAGATCATAGTAAGAGAAAATAAAATCAGAGAGACTAACATAGCAATGAGGAAACATTTCTTGATGTTGAATTTTGTTAGTTATGAATGTGTTCAGTTCATCATTCAATATTTATTGAGTTTCTATTATATGATGTCATAGTTGCCCAGGATGGAATTGTTTACTTAGGGTTCTTTTTAGAATACATTTACATTTTGTCTGAAATGATTTAGCCAGTCTTATTTAAAAATAGAGAAACAAGTAATTGGCTTCATGATTTTTGTGATTTCTTCAGAAGACTCACAGCAGAAAAAGTGAGATGCTGATACAAATGCTCATACTAACATAACATGGGTTTTCCTAACATCCCTGATTAGAAGCATAGGAAAGAACAATTAAACCTGAGGACCTATCACTGGAATCACTGAGGCTCCAACATCTTAAGTTCCTCTTCTAAGTGGGGTGCAATTATGGCTGACTAATTTCCTCAAGTTCTATTAGTGTTCTTTTGCAGAACAAAACATATGAAGCCCCACTGTTTGAGTGGCCTTAGCTACTATTCTAGTGGCTCCCTGTACTGAATGAAATGCTAACCATTGACCTGGGCCAAGATATTTATCTCTGTTTTGCTACCAATACCACACTAACCTATTTGTTACTCAACTTCAGTTTCTGTTTGATAGGTATCACTCTTCTCTCCATGTAAGACATTTATTCTTCTGACCCCAAATCTATGTTATCACTAAGGGTAAAGAAGGTCATTTCCTCATTAGAAAATTGCTTATTTAAAACCTTGAGTGGTGTGGGCTTGCTTTTAGGACAGATTCTACATTTTGCTGAGTTTGAGGAAAATTTGTGAGTGGTAATGTTTTATATGGCCATATAACTGAAATCATAACTGATAATCTAGCAGTAATGATTGACTTCAAACAATTAAAACATTTATTTTGAGTTCCTGCCTCCCAAGTTATCCCTCCCCATGTTTGCTATGTTTATGGTTGTCTTCATTGCTAAAAATCACAAGTCATGTACCCTGGAGCTGTCAGTCATAAAAGTATTGTATCATTTTCTAATTGAAAATAAGGTCATCTTGTAAATATAGCCCTAGGTCGCCAATTTTTTTAGCCATGCCTTTCCATAATCTTACCTCTTTCATATAGTTAGGTAGAAGTACTAAATTTTAAAACCACCTGTTATAGTTACAAAGACAAAGATGTACATCTTAGCATTCATAGACCATCTGCTTTTCCATAACCCCTGTAGTAATCTGTAGCCAAGGTATAATTAATTAGTATATACATAGGCCAGGCCAGGGACAAAAAGGGGCCAATCGTCTAGCTTTTTAAAGATTACCCCAATTCATAAATAGGATTCTACTGTTATTGGAGAAAAATATGCAGGCTTATTTAGTCAAAGCTAAAATTAAACGCCTTCAAAAAATGAATACCTATTGAAAAATATTTTCATTGCTTATAGCCTGAAAATATAAAGCAAACTGACAAACAACTTCAGGGGAAGACCAGAGGATGTTCTTTTCTCAGGAATCTGCAGGATGAAGAAGGTATGCAACTTGCCCAAGGAACACCCTGGGTGACAGAGAGGATTTGCATTTATGTAAGTCTGAATCCCAAACACACTCTTTTCCCTCTACATTAATTAACTTTTACAGGGACTATAGAATGATCTCACTACAATTTTTAATACTTCAATTCAAAATTGTCGATAGCTTCTGTTGATGTTGATCATAACCCCTTCCCAAAGCCCTTTGTTCCTTTACTTGCTTTGTAGGACACCACTCCTCTGGATTTTTCTCTTGGCTGACTATCAACTCTTTCTGTCTTCCAAACTGTTTGTTCTTGAAGGTCCCAGGCCTCGGTACAGTGACTCATTCCTATTAAACACATATTCCTTTGGAGCACCTCATGCAATCTTGTGGCTTTAAATATGATTGTGTGCTAATGGCACCACGTTTATATATACATTTTGGAACTCTGCCCTGAACTCCAAACTTCTATATTCAACTGCATACTCAATATCTCTAGTTGGCTGTCTAAAGGATATCTCATATTCAACATGTCTAAAATTGAACTCCTAACTCTGCCCCCAACCTCCACAAAACTGCTCCATTTTAGTCTTTGTCATATTAATGACAATTTTGTCCTACAGTTGTTTAGACTCATGTCCTTAGAATCCTCTTACTTTTCTCTGTACCTCACATCTAATTTATTAGAAGATTGCTTTGGCTCTGCCTTCAAATACCTCCAGAACTAGACCATGCCCAAACATGTCTACTACTCCTACAACTAGCTCCACAGCACCACCATCTCTTGCATGGGTTATTACTATTGACTCTGACAATCCTCTGGCTTCCACTCTTGCTTCCTATAGTATATTCCCAGCACAACAGGAAGAATAATTCTGCTTTACCATGGATTATGGAAGAGCTCTCCTCAACCTCTCTAAATTTACTCAATACTTCTCAGAGTTAAAGCTATAATCCTTACAATGTCCTTTAAGGATTCACGAGATTTGGACCTCTGTGATCTTGCTGACGGTGTTGCCCATTATCCTTTTCCTTCCTCACTTTGCTACAGCTACCTGTGCCAGAATTCTTATCTATTTCTCACATACTCCAAGCAGCTCTTGCCTCAAAGCCTTTGCCCTGGTTCTTGCTTGCCTCTGTACAGAATGCTCTTTCACCAAACGGCTACGTGGTTCACTCCTCGATTTCCTTTAGCTCTTCCCTCAAAAGCCCATTGAGGATGACCTTGACCACTACTTCCCTTCCAATCTTCCTTACCCTGAACTATTTTACTTCCTTTCATGGTATCTGTTACTTTCTAAAGTGCTGTGTAATTTAATTACTATGCTTATTTTTTACATATTGTCTCTAGTCACTAAAATATAAGGCCTACAAAGTTAAGTTTTCTAGTGGTTTCTTGTTGGATAAATTCCCATAATAGTGCCCATGTACCAGGTGGCAGTCAATAAACATTTTAGAAAGAAAGAAAGAGGAAAGAAAGAAAGAAAGAAAGAAAGAAAGAAAGAAAGAAAATGAAAACAGGAAGAAAAGAGAGATGGAGAAGAGAAAAAGAAAAAAGAAGGAAAGGAGGAAAGAAGACTATTTTTAGAAATGGAATATGCAATACTGTATCTCTCAATTGGTGGGTTAGTTTATTCTCTGGATAAACTTGAAACTAAACACTTGAAGTAATCAATAATATTTATAAGTAACATTTTTGGGAGGCATTTTGAAAGTAATTAAGAAGAAAATTAGATGTTAGTAAAAAATAAAGATCATTTGTCACACATAGCCAAGGAGAACTTAAGGACACTTGAAAATTAAATGGGATCCTGAAACAACAACAACAACAACAACAAAAGGATATTTAGTAAAAACTACAGAAACCCGAAGTATGGGTTTTTGTTAATAAAGTGTCAATATTGTAACAAATATATCATGCTACTGTATATGTTAATAATCTGGAATTCAGTGTGGGGTATATGGGAACTCTTAAATATTGTAGCAATTCTACTATACATTTAAAACTGTTCTATGACAATAAGTTTATTTTTAAAAAAATGGATGTTCAGAAAGAACTGATTAAAAATTTTATTTAGGAATTGATTTTTATTATTTTTTTATTTGTTTAGAATCTTATTTTCATCACTTGGATTTCTATGTGACATCAATGCAATTGGTTGAAAAGTTTCCCAATACAACTGGTTAAAATCATTATGAAACTAACTTGATTTTGCATGTATTCACATATATTTTAAGAATCCAAATAATTATAACATTTTAGGAATTGCCACTTTTAAGGGCCTCAGAAATCTTTAATTATCTCTAAATCCCTCTAAGAAAAGAAAATTTAACAATATTCTTGACAAATAACCATCAAGGAAAGTTCATCTGGGGAACTGGGGAAATTTGAAGATTTTTCTTTTTTCTTTTTTTTTTTTTTTAAGAGACTAGAAGGACCATTCTTGAAGTTAGCCCCTATTTGTTTAGCTAGAATGAAAAGTAAAATTCACAAGAAAATATATTAGTATATTAGAAAATGTACATTTAGTCATGTGAGGAAAACTTTGAAACTGAAACAGGACAAAATGCAATGACACTGGAGAAACACTGAGATTAGTTTAACACCATTTGCTGTGTGCTGACTGTGAGATACACTGAAAAGCAATCAATAGTTTCTGAGCGTGCGATTTTGATCACAGATGATAATATATTTTGTACACACCTGCACCAAAGTTGTACACCAAACTGTACACGAGTTATTACCAAGGATACAGTGTGTAGGAAAGATAAAGGTGGGTTATAGAACTCTCCATATCGTAAAGACATGGAGCTATAAAGTCATAGACTTGAAGTATAATTTGGACTCAAAATTAGATACCCCTTTGACACCATGGAAGAGCTGGTGTGGACCACATTGAGAGAGAGACAGAGATAGAGAGAAGTGATAGAGACCAACCTTAATATGTGACACAGGCCATCCCAGAAGTCCAGGAATGGAACTTTTACAAAAAAAAGGCTAAAGAAAGAGTGCTTTTTGAGTTTTCATTAATGTGTAAATGAAAATATGCTTATTTGAGAATTTCTGGGTGCTGCATATGAGTTAATGAGTTGTTTTCCTTGCTGATTCTGATCAGATCAGCATGGTTAATAAACCATATTGTTATATGTTCATTTTGATTCATCTGTTCTAGTAATCCTTTACTGAGACTTGGAGGAAGCCTCAGCCCCTACCAATATCTCCCCAGTCTGGGGACTTAGATAACTAAAGTGTTCTAGGCAGCTTGTCCTGTTACTTAGTTGTTGTCACCCAGGAAGCAGTTGTGGGATTAGAAGACAGAAAAGTATGCCACAGTGCATACACTAATTTTAAGATGGTGGGAAGGGCTGAGGCTACACATGACCTGAAGACTTTTTCAACTCTACATGGCCAGTCCAGCAGTGGGGGTGGGAGGAGTTTAACTCACAGACAAATTCCATACACAGGATCATCTCCTGACTTGGTTACTTTTGTGAATGAGGTGGGTTATTTACCTTTTACTCTCAATAATTGCCCAGCTGAGAGTGAAAACTAATCAGATTGTTGACTATGTGTTTTGTGGTTTCTGGTGTAGGACTTCAATATTGGGTAATTTCACTTTAAGATGCATTTTGTGGCCTCCAGATTTGTCATTCAGAGCAGGTTATTTTCAATTTAGGAAGAACATTTTACCCGATTCCAGTTTTATCTGGGTAGATTTTTGTTGTTGTTTTTACCCTAGCCGTCTGTTTTCACTGGTACATCTCTTAGATTAAGTAATCATTTATCTTGTATTTTCTCTTTGTCTTTCACTTTTAAGTAGGTGGGGTCGATGCACTCAAAGGGAGTTTGCCAACAGGATAGACTAACCTCAGCCAGACAGACTGGATAATGTTTTTACAAACCCTTATGATGCTTAAACAGAAGTCCTGCACTTTAATCAATATATCCATATTCAATCTAGTAACATTCCTGAAATGTTACCAATCCAGGCAATTCAGTAGCTCCTAAGGGCTAAACTTCTCCCATAAAACTGTTCTTGGATGAGTCTAAAAGACATCCCTAGAAGACTTGTTGAAACAATACTGTTACAATGTTTTTAGAATTTGTAAGGGGATTTGGGAGATAAATCAACAAATGAACTTTCCCTGCCACCCGCCACCATATCTGAAACTTATAAGGTTTGCTTGTCAGAGTCAGAACCATAACTTCTCAGTTCTGGACATGTTTGTGTTCTAAAGAGCCGTTACCACTCCCACATGTCTATTTCTAGTCAGACTAAATTTTTTCACAATTATAGGTGGCTCATTCTTGTATGGGAAAAGTTCCAGATCTTCATCAGGCTATTTGTATGACTACTTCGGAGTTTACTGATATCAGTATATATCACATACTATGACATGTATCTATGATATATATATATATATATATATATATATATATATATTTTATATTATATTATATATATATATATATATATTTAACTCATCTATATTTAATAATTTTCCTTCAAGGTAATATTTCTATCTAGCTTATTTACTGTCTCCTTTTCATTCCAAGCCACCATTCTGCTTCCAAATTCCCTCTTTTATTTTTGTCATCATCTATTATTTTCCCATTAAATTAGTAATACTGTGGACTAAGTTACTCCCAATGCCCAGAAAAGTTTCTGGCATTAATATACACTAAAAAAATTGTTTGTTGTATGAATAAATAAGAAATATATTGATAATAGTCATTCTAAGATTATTATGTATCATATACTATTCTAATAAAATTATTCTAAGGTTTGTTGAAAAATTAATAATGCTCTGGCATCAAAGGTATAAATACTGATTTATTCTCTTTGATTTTTCTCAATATAATTTATGACAATGCATACCAGAATACTAAAATGTGTTATGCATGATGTCTGTCACTATTTCCTTATTCTTGTGTCTATGACTGATTTCTTAAAATAAGGAAGTATTAATAAAGACTATATGTGTATGTATTTTTTCTTTTGCTTTCTCTTTTGAAGGTATCTATTTTTCTCTGTATTAATTTTCATTGATATTTTTTGTTTGT